CTTGACTTGACTTGACTTGACTTTACCATCTATATCGCCACCCCGAATCACTTGAAACCCAAGCTACCTTTATGCCCCCAGTGGCATATCACACGAGGCCCCGATCGAGTGGGCCGGCCCAAACCATCTGGGGTTGAGTCCTGCTTAACGGAAGCCTCCGAGCGTCTGGATCACCTCACTCAGGCCATATGACCCCCGCCCGCATTTTGATTATGAGTTTTCTCTATTCCGAGAGCGTCGCAGATTCGACAAGAGCATTCCTCGCACTCCGTTCTGTGGATGGACAATACTTCTCTTTATCGCAAAGTTTTTGCAGATGTCAGACAACAAGCCCTTCCAAGCCCAGCCGCCAAACATCAATGCGCCTTTGACAGTTCGGTGCGGACTCGACCTCGCTTGGACCCTGTGCAAAAAAATCAAGCGAGCACGACAGCACTAAGCAGGATGGAGAGATGACGTGCAGATACGTGCATGGTTTCCGACCACAAGTTTTCGGAGGTGTGAAGCCAAGAGTTAGAGCAACAATGAGGATGCCGATGGGGCTTGCGGATGATGCTGATGATGATGATGACGATGATGATGATGATGGTGATGGTGGTGGTGGGTGGTGATTACGCATCATGATGACGCCGACGAGAGACACGAAGAAATAAATGACGGGGCGTGGATGCGTGAGAACGCAGATGGACACACCCGTGTGAAACTTCATGAGAAGGGTACAGCGAGTTGCAACTCCTGTTGAAGTGTGACGAAGCAGCGACAGAAGGACCCAGTATGACCCCTTGGCTTACAGTGCAGGAACGCTGGAATATTGGACGGCCGTTTACAGCCATGTCTCCTCACGCGAGGACATTCGATCATGCATTTGTGTTGTGGCATGTCTATGCGAGAATGTGATGGGGAGGACTGGGCTGTTTATGTCATCTTGTTCATGGCTTGGGTCCTGCCCACAGCAGCAGCACTTCAAGTTTACAATGGTGTTATTGGGCACACTCGTTTAGTGGTGGCTTGGCCGGCCTGTGAGAGCTGCGAATTCTTGATGGTTTCTTTCTGCCCTTGTTGTCGCTTCTCGAGACTCGAGACTAAGGAATGCCTGATAATTCAACTCGTCGTGGGAGATTCTGCGCAGCTCATAGTTGGCCGGAGCATCGGGCAGCACCATGTGTGCGTCAAGCTCTCCCCAAAGAAGACACTTGAAGGTGCCACCGTGTGTTTTCCAGCTATTGCAGCCTGTGCAAAGTAACGGAAAGATGAAGCTTCAGGCTACATCGGAGGATTTGTTCTGACATTCCTTTATGGAGTTATGGTGCATGGGTGGAGTCCGGCGAACATTTGCGTTGTCTACGTCTTTGGTGGCTCTGCCAGGTTTCAGAGCGATGGTTTCATTCACTGGATCGCTCAACCCTGCGCCGTTGGACCCAGAAAAGCATTGAAACAAGGTTGTGCTGGCGACCTGTACTTCTCCGCGATCAAGCGTCGCCTGGGTATCAAGGACTACTCTCGCGTCCTATCTTCCCACGGCTGCTTGGTAGACACTACACTGATTACTTTATGTTTTGAGCCCGGTGGGGTTGCGATTGACTTCAGTTTATGATTCTTGTATTCCCACGTTGATCTTACCTGCTGGCAGCCAAAACGTCAATGTCACTGAGACAGCCGACCCGCCTACCTCGTGCCCACATCCGAGGTGGCTTGCTTGATCGCATCGACTCATTCATGTTTGCAGCGAATGCGTTAGTGTGGAAGGCCAAGCGTCTGACCGGCCATTACTTCTGCACCAGTGTCAGCACACAGCTGTTGCATGCTGTTGCTGTCAGGCTGCCTTCCTGTCTCCAGACTGACTGGAACTTGTTCGCAGGCTGTCAAACAGCCGGCCTGAACCACGAGCCACAAGCTGCTTGTGGTGGCAGGGGTGCATGGCACGTCCGATATCCGACCGGTCCGTCCGGTCGCATGAAGCACAGCATCGCCCTGCCTTGCGAAGCTCCTGCAAAGGCAAACACTGCCCCAAGGAGGAGTGATGAGCAGCGTGGCACGTAGATCAAAATAGTTTGCGCTGAAACGTGTAAACGTGCGGACGTCTACAGGGTTGTCTTGTGAGGGGTCACATTTGGCGAGTGCACAAGCTCAGATGGAAAAGCAGCTTTCACTGTTCGGGTAGAGCCGTAGAAGCCGATGCAAACCGGGGGACTATTATTACTATTCTTCCTATTGTTGTCAATATAGATCTTGACGACTTTAAGCTTTGCCGCTTCTGTGCTGCATGTCAGTCCTGGGGCCTGGCTACATCCGTCATGCGACGCTTCGAGCGGCTGGAAGCCGAGTGCGGAGTAGCGTTGGACGTTTTTGTCGATGTGTTCACAGATACCTACATACCTACCTACCTGCCTACCCACCTACCCACCTAC